CCAAAGTTACCACATGACTGAGCAATCCCACTTCTGGGCATAAATCCAAAGGAAATAAAATCACTATCTTTGAGAGATATCTGCACCTTTGTGTTCATTGCAGGATTATTTACAACAGCCAAGACATGGAAACAACCTAAGTGTTCATTGTGGATGAATGGATAAAGAAACTGTGCTGTATATATACACAATGGAATATTATTCAGCCATAAAAAAGATGGAATTCCTGCCATTTGTGACAACATGGATGAACTTTGAACGCATTATGTTAAGTGAAATAAGTCAGAGAAAGACAAATACTGTATGATCTCACTTATATGTGGAATCTAAAAAAACCAAAGTCACTGACACAGAGTAGATGGGTGGTTTCCAGGAGGGAGGTGGGGGTTGTGGGAGTGGGGAAGTGTTAGTGGTGGGGAATGGATGAAGGTAGACAAAAGGTACAAACTTCCAGTTAGAAGATGAACAAGTTTTGGGGATCTAAGGTATAGCGTGGGGACTATAGTTAACAATATCGTATTGTTTGCTTGAAAGTAGCTAAGAGAGTAAATCTTAAAAATTCTCACCACTCACACACAAAAAGGTAACTATCTGAGGTGATAGATGTGTTAACTAACTTTATTGTGGTAATCTTTTCACAATATATGCATATATCATATCATCATGTTGTACACTTTGAATTTACACAATGTTACTGTGTCAGTTATATCTCAATAAAGCTGGAGAAAAAACAATGATTCCAAGGATATTATGACTATTCGAGCCTCTAACATTAACAGTATAGAATCAAGTTTTAGGAGTACCTATTAAAGTCTCTCATGGGGCCAGCTCCGTGGCCGAGTGGTTAAGTTCACGTGCTCCGTCTGCTTCGGTGGCCCAGGGTTTCACCGGTTCGGATCCTGGGTGCAGACATGCCACCGCTTGTCAGGCCACGCTGAGGCGGCATCCCCCATGCCACAACTAGAAGGACCAACAACTAAAAAGTATATATATACATCTATGTACCGGGAGGCTTTGGGGAAAAAAAGGAATAACAAAATCTTTAAAAAAAAAAAAACTCTCTCACAATTAGTGTTCCCCAGAATATCATTTGGGAAATGAGGTTAAAGATACTAAGTGAGTTAAAAGCTATGCTAAACTACTGAGAAGTTAGATAAGGTGAGATAGTGAGTACTCATTGGTAAAACAAGTGTCTTAGGTTGCTGTTTTGTTTAGCAATGATGAGCAGCTCAAGAGGAGGTTTCTGGTCACCAAGTATGAAATGCAAGCAAAAAGTAAAGTCAATTCATATTTTAGTACTCCTATTGAAATAATAAAATGGTACTTGCATCTAGACATTCTCTTAAGCTTAGTGGTAGAATCTATAGTTCAGATGAAATTGTAAAAAAAAAAAACAACACAGCAAGTTTTTTCTGTTCCATTCTTAAGCCTATATCCTGTATGTGAGGTCAGCAAGACCTCAGGTAGGGGCGGCTGAAAGAATCCAGCAGAAGGTCAAGAGAACCAGAGATTCTACAGGAGTGTATTGCTGGCAATGCTGCTTTTGGATCATGGGCTGTGTAGAAAGGCAAAAAGCCGGAAAGTGGAGGCTTCCCTGGGGATTCTAAATTCATAGAAGGAGGGGACTAGAATACGTGGTAGGAAGAGAGGTTGGGTTCTGGTCAATGGGACTCGGGTCAGGGCTACAAAAGGTTGTCCTCATGAACATTGGCACAGAGCATAAGTTACTCCTTAAAAAAGAAAAAATCTTCATTAAAATTTAACCCAAACATTAAAGCCACCCTTGGCCTTAAAATTCCCTCTGAAATAGAGAAACCCGAAGCAGTCACACATATGTATGGCCAACTGATTTTTTGACAAATGTACAACACAATTCAATGGAAGAAGGATAGTCTTCTTAACATATAGTGATGGACCAAGTGGATATCCACAGGTAAAAACTGAATCTCAACCTAAACCTCACATCTTATTAACTAAAAACTTAAAAACTAACTCAAAATGGATCATGGAGTTAAATGTAAAAGGTAAAACTAAAAACACCTTTAGAAGCAAACATAGGAGAAAATCTTTAGGACCTAGGGTTGGTGAACAGTACTTGGACATGACACCAAAAGCACAATCCATAAATTGAAAAATGACTAAAGTGGGCTTCGTGAAGTTTAAAAACATTTACTAAGCAACAGATCCTGTTAAGAGGATGAAAAGACAAGCTACAGATAGGAGAAAATATTACTAAACAACATTTCTGATACAAGACTTGTATCTTGGATATATAAAGACCTCTCAAAATGCAACAGCAAAAAACAAATAATGCAATTAGCAAATGGGCAAAAGACATAAGACATTTAACTAAATAGAATATACATGTGGCAAATGAACACATGAAAAGATATTTAACATCATTAGCCATTAGGGGAATGAAAATTAAGACCATAATGAGATATCACTAGATACCTATCATACCTATTATTTATGTTAGCTGAGCTGAAGTTAAATAGTAACAATGCCAAATATTGGTGAGGATATGGAGAAACTGGATCTCGCACATTGCTAGTAAGAATGTGAAATGGTATAGCTACTCTGGAAAATAGTTCGGCAGTTTCTTAAAAAACTAAACATACATGTATCACATGACCCAGTTTTGCACTTTTGAGAAGTTGTTCCAGAGAAGTGAAAATTTATGTTCACACAAAAACCTGTACATAATTGTTCATAGCAGTTTTATTTGTGATAGCCAAAAACGGGAAACAACCAAAATGTTCTGCAACAGGGGAATGGTTAAACCAACTGTGGTCCATCCATATCTATATATCTATCCTATTGGTTTTGTTTTTCCGGAGAATCCCAACAATACACTATGGCATGCTACTCAGCAATAAGAAGGAATACACTATTGATACACACAATAACTTGGACAGATCTCAAGGACATTATACCGAGTGAAAGAAGTGAATCTCAAAAAGTCATACACTGCATGTGTCCATTCATAGAACATTGCTAAAATGTCAAAATTATAAAAATGGAAACAGGATAGTAGGGGCCAGGAGTTAGGGGTGGGTGGGCATTACTATAAAAGGGTAGCATGGGGGAGATCTTTGTGGTGATGGAGTAGTTCTGTATTTTTTTTTAATTTCTTGCTTTTATTTATTTATTTATTTATTTTCTTTTCAGGAAGATTAGCTCTGAGCTAACATCTGCTGCCAATCCTCCTCTTTTTGCTGAGGAAGACTGGCCCTGAGCTAACATCCGTGCCCATCTTCCTCTATCTTATATGTGGGACGCCTACCACAGCATGGCTTGCCAAGCGGTGCCATGTCCGCACCCGGGATCCGAACTGGCGAAGCCCAGGCCGCCAAAGCAGAACGTGTGCACTTAACTGCTGTGCCACTGGGCTGGCCCCTCTTGCTTTTATTCTTGAATACTGTTTCTTTTTTTGAGGAAGATTAGCCCTGAGCTAACATCTGCTGCCAATCCTCTTCTTTATGCTGAGGATGATTGGCCCTGAGCTAACAGCTGTGCCCATCTTTCTCTATTTTATATGTGGGACACCTGCCACAGGATGGCTTGATAAGCAGTGTGTAGGTACACGCCTGGGATCCACACTGGTGAACCCCAGGTGGCCAAAGTGGAGTGCGTGAACTGAACTGCTGCACCACCAGGCCAGCCCCGAATAGTTCTGTATCTTGATTGTGGCAGTGGTTTCATGAACTGACACGTGATAAAATGACGTAGGACTATACAAACACTTTACATCACTGTCAGTTTTCTGGCTTTGATATTGTACTAGAGTTATATAAGGTGTCATCAGTGGGGGAAACTGTGTGAAGGATACACAAGACCTCTCTGTACTATTTTTGCAACTTCCTGTGAAATCTATCATTATTTCAAAATAAAAAGTTTAAAAGAAAATTCCCTCTGAGATAGCTCTCCTTAGCTTTCCTTCATCTTTCTGTGCGTGAGCTAACAACTGTTGCCATCTTTTTGTTTGTTTCTGCTTTTTCTCCCCAAATCCGGCCAGTACATAGTTATATACTTTAGTTGTGGGTCTTTCCAGTTGTGGCATGTGGGATACCGCCTCAACATGGCCCAATGAGCTGTGCCATGTCCTCACCCAGGATCTGAACCAGTGAAACCCTGGGCCACCGAAGCAGAGTGAGCTAACCCAACCACTCGGCCTCGGGGCCGGCCCCTCACGTGCTTAATTTTAAGAGCAGCAATGTTCCAGCGTTTAAAAAAATCTCTTAAAAAACAAATCCTGCAAATTAACCTGCTTTTTATTTTATATAATCCACAGTGAATCATTGTTCTTAAGGTCAGTATCCCATAATACAAACATGTTTCCAACACTCGCCTCAGAAGATAATTTTGTTTTATATGAATAGAGCACTAATCAGATTCTTAGTGGCAACTGATGATTACACATTCAGAATTTACTGGGAAAACAGTGATATCAAATACTATGTTCCATTAGTTTTTAATATAAATCCGCACGTCATAAAAATAATCTTTTTCCAGGCCATGTGTCCAGACTTGCCGTTTGGAAAATATGATCGTTACAACTACAGAACATCAAACTGAATACAGCCCTTTCCTGAGGGCTTGCAAACTGAATCTGGCAACACTTTGGAAAAGTAATACTTTAGGTTCTCAAGAACCCAAAGAGCCCTCTGGCTCTTCCAGTGGGTTCAGCCCTAAATATTCTGAGTCCTTTGAAAAAATTATGAGTTGCAGGTGTTTAAGTTTTCAAGTATTTTCTTTTGGTCTTTTCATTAAATAACCAGTCCTAACAACAAACAAGGATTACAATTTATGGGGGTAATATTTACACTTAATGTACTTCTGCATTTTTCTTCCATCCATTTTCATTTTTATCTCTTTCAACCAAACCTTTCACCTCTTTTCTAAACTCCAGTATTTAACAAAACGTCAAACAAAAAAATAAAATAAACCAAAAAACCACTCCATTACAGTGTGGTTGCGCTAGCTTGCGAACGAAGGAAGTTTGTCCCTTGCGGTGATCCGTCCTGGTGTTTGCCTGCAGCAAGATGGCGGCGGTCTCAATGTCAGTGGCGCTGAGGCAAGCGTTGTGGGGGAGAAGGGCAGTGGCTGTAGCTGCCGTTTCTGTTTCCAGGGGTCCAACCAGGTAATAGGATTTCTGTGCATTTCCTCTCCTTCAGGCTTCTCGCGTCTCTCCACTTTTGCGGTGATGTCTACCGGCCAGGGCCCGGACCTCGGGGAAAGCGTCCTCTCTTGACCCTTTCCTCGGGAGAGGGCGGGCGGATTTGGGACTAGCTGTGATCAAGGCGCGCTGGCCAGGCGAGTGGGGGCGTCACTGCGGGCAGGGGCGAGCAGGCCCTCTGGTTTCTTGGAAACTTTGGGGCTGTTGGTCTGGGACAGGTTCTGTAGGGTGGCGTTGTCTCCGGAGCGGGAGCCCGGCCCCAGCCTCTGGAAAAGGGGCGGAGCCTCACGCGTTTCCTCTCCCCTTCCGCACCCCTCCATTTTTCACCTGTTCACCCATCACTCCAGTCCTTGCTGGAGGGATAAATCCATCTCTTCGTTCCGCGGCTTCAAGTGGTGTTGATTTGGTTTCTGAACAGAAAGATTGTTTTATTCATCAGTCCGCTTGGGAGGAAAACTTGGTTGGAATTCAATGTTAGTAAAAATCTCACTGCTAGGAACCTTGGAAGGTAATTTTTAAAAGGCTGGTGGTGATGTCGGGAGGGTGCCCATCCAGAATTTTATTAAAGCCTCACAATAATTCACAGATTGTCGTTATTGTTTTGCCTTGAAGCATTTTTGTGCTGATGAATTCTTTTTTTCTGACTGCTTTACTTAATTCTCCATTTCCCTATTTTTCCGAATTTTCCCCATTTGGTTATAATACGACCACAACAGCGTACATGCACACACACTAGCATTTTTATCTGCGAAGAATTTTTTATCGCTGTTTTCGCAGCTTGTTAGTATAAGTATAAACCAGGGCTTATGTTGAGTGTCTTCTACATGCTGTGGCGACTGCATTAAGGTGCGTAGAACAAGGATGGAAAGACTGAATGGACAGATGTGAAGGAGGTGGGAGGATTGGGGGTGATTAAAATTGAAAAAAGGGTCTAGTCAAATGCTAATTAGTGTTTCATTAAATAAATACGAAGGGAAAGCAGAGTTAGAACTAGAGTTAATTAGAAAGGATTTTTGAAGGTAAGTTTTATTAAGGTTTTAAATAGTGGGTGTTGGATGGGAAAGAAGAGGATGTCCTGGGTCGGGTCAATGGCTTGTGAAAAGACTTGAAGGCAATAGTAGAGACATATATGCATAATATAGTCATTGAAAAATAAGGATGCTAAGATTGGGGAAAGGTAAAAAATTTTTAGTTAACTGTTCTACATGTGGGGAACTTGAAGAATGGAAAGTATTTCTCTGAGGTAAAAAACTCCACTGGTTGACTTAGGAATAGAATCGAGGTACCCGGGTTAGTTTTTGTTTCCCTAGACATTATGGAGATTAATTTTGCATTCCTTTGTTGTTTTTTTTTTTTTTTTGAGGAAGATTAGCTCTGAGCTAACTACTGCCAGTCCTCCTCCTTTTTTTGCTGAGGAAGCCTGGCCCTGAGCTAACATCCATTCCCATCTTCCTCTACTTTATACATGTGGCGCCTACCACAGCATGGTGTGCCAAGCGGCGCCATGTCCACACCCGGGATCTGAACCGGCGAACCCCAGGCCTCCGAGAAGCGGAACGTGCGAACTTAACCGCTGCGCAACTGGGCCAGCCCCAATTTTGCATTCCTGAATAATAATGTGTTCACAGTAGCCCTAGAACTGGAAACAGATTTTTAGGGTCCTCTGGTGCATGGCTAATCAAAACATGATTGTAAATCTAAACTTAAGTCACATTTTGTCAGCAATTAAGTAGTTGAAGTTAAGATACTAGATTTTGGAAACTTTCATGATAATTAGTGCTACTTACCCAAATTTAAAGAATTTCTGCTTGAAAATGTATTAGAAGACATTTGGAAATAAAATTTTAAATCGTATTAGATCGCCTTTGTTTCACACTTTAAAAGACTTAAAAGCCAAGGAAAACAAATTTTAAACAAACCAAATGACATTTATTTGCTTTCCGTATATACCACTTTTTTACCCAAAGAGCTTACGATGTCTGTCTCACTTTGAGGGAGATTTATGGCCCTTCTCCCTTACATCTTATTTGCTTTTCGTCTTTAAGCACTCTTTCCATTATGGTTTGATAGTAATGAGGATCCAAAAAAGTTGAGTGTGGACAGAGAACAGTAAATGGGGAAGTCTACATCTAAAATTCACTGTATCGTAATGCTTAGAAAACATTTGCAAATGATGTACCATTTCAGATCACTTGAGTAAAATGAGGGAGAGTAAAATCAGTAAGGCACTTGGTAAGGAGGAGAGAAGTGAAGAAATACGGATATTGAAGAAAAGGAAGTGTCAGTTGAAGGCAGGAAGCAGTTAACTGCTACATTAGCTTATATGAATTAAACTATAGTATATCAGTAAAAAACAAGCAAACCAAGAAACCCAACAACATATACACACAAGAGAGAGAGAAAAAAATTGTTTTAACAGTGTAGATGATTCAGCTGCTAGTTACTGAACTCATGCTCTAGAGTGAGTCCCGGTTTCCACATGCTTCTCATTTCCCTGGACTCAATGAGAGGGGGCAAAACTCTGGATAAATGGCCTACGCTTGTCCTTACTTTCCTAAGCGCTTGTCCAGGGTAAGTTTAACTATTTAGGATTTTAATCTGAAAGCCAGATCAAATAGCACTCTATTTCAAAATAGTAATACTTAGGACTCAGAACATTTGGTGCAGTGGTTTTTGTTTTCGTTTTCTTTAACCTATTCATGTATACTTTTCTCAGCCTTGTTTCATCACTTCTCAGTTAGACTGAGTCTTGTGTTTACCCCATCATAGCTCCTTAGGGTCCTCAGAGGGTATTAATTAATCACTGTTTTGGGGACTAAGCCTCTCTGGGACCTGTTTGTGAGGCCTATTTTATGCTCCAATCTCTGGCTTTATTCTGTTGCTCTATTTCCTTTTTCAGCATTAGATAAGGCAGTATGAAGTTATGAGTCTGCAGGAACCTCCAATGAGTAAGAGGTCCTAAGGGTGACAGGAGTTCTGTGTATATTACACCTTGCTAGGAAACTCTTTTAGCCCAAATTTGAGAAGCATTTAGGACATTTAAAAATCAGTAAGTGGACTTCTTTAGATAGGCTGGATAAACAAATTCATCTCTGAAGGGCAGATACTTTTGCTGTCTTTGAACGTATCAAAGCCTAGTATTGTGAGCATGAAATGTTTCTAAAGTATCCTCTAATAGGTTTCATTGTTTTGCTTATTTTCCTCATTAAAAATAACTATATTTAGTTGGTCTGTTTTCATCAGTAGCAGACTCTTTGTTGAATTCTTAGGATAATTAGATTTTTTTTTTTTGAGGAAGATTAACCCTGAGCTAACATGTGCCATCAACCCTCCTCTTTTTGCCGAGGAAGATTGGCCCTGAGCTAACATCTGCGCCCATCTTCCTCTATTTTATATGTGGGACGCCTGCTACAGCATAGTTTGACAAGTGGTGTATAGGTGCACACTGGGGATCTGAACCCAAGAACCTCGGGCCCCCAATGTGGAACGTGCAAACTTAACCACTACGCTACCAGACCAGCCCTGAGAATTAAATATTTTAATACTAATAAATATTAGAATAGTGTCTGACACATAGTAAACTTTATCTAAATAAATGCTAATTTTATTTTTGGTTTGAATAGCCTTAATATATTTCTTTTCTTTAATTTTGGTGGTAGATACTGTGGTAGATGGTATTATTGTTTAAAATATTTTCTTCCATTCCCTGTGACAGCATTATATATCACTGCGCCATTGGCTAAGTGTCTTGTTTTGGCCAATGAAATGTTACTGGAAATGATATGGCATGTCAAGCAGAATCTTTAAGAGCTGTCTCATGTTTTCAATGTCCCTTTTCCCTTGGAAATGAGTGTTTTGCCAGGTCCCCTTTCTCCTGGAATGACGATAACATGGAGCAAAGTGGAAGCTGATTCTTGTAGGTTATATAACATATAAAGTGACTAAGAAATAAACCTTTGTTGTAAGCCACAAAGATGTTTAGATTGTTGGTTACCTTTACTGACTCTTTTTTATACATACGGATACACATTTGCACACACACACATTTGCAGATCAGCAGGTTTTAGCACTTGGACTGATGGTCTGGTGAAGTCACACACTTTTAGAAGGCTGGAAAAGATTTTATTTATTTTTGTATACTTCACAGCACCTAGTTTGATGGCTCACATGTAACAGGTAGATGATTATCACATAGATGAGTAAATATATATTTAGAGATACATGATTGTGAGAACAGACAGGAGCCATAGGCAGTATTTCTGTTAATAGCCTTATCAGTGAAAACCAAGTAGGCACTAACCTACATAAATGTGAATATAAAATATCTATAACATTCTTTTCTAATTATTTGCAGTGGTCTGAGTTTAGGATATTCACCTAACCCTCTGTTAACTTCTGGATTGAACTTGTCTCATAGATAGATTTTCTTTGTACTTATATATTTCTTTGACAAGTGTTCTGACTCCTGTATTCAGATTTAAAAAAAGAAGTGGAAATGAATTTATTTGGGAAAGGGTACTCATGGAACATGAAAGCTTTTTAGGAATAATGGTAACTAAATGGGATGATTAGACTTGCTCTCTGCAAGCTGCTTTACATGAAGTTTTTAAAAATTAATAATACCTGAGGCTTAATGGGGAAAGATGCAGCAGCTTGGTTCCTATGAAATGCATGTTAGAAGAGGTCTCTGGGTATGGGTTGAATACAAAATAAGACAATTTCAAATGGGGAGGCTTCTAAAATATATCATATCCCTTCGTGAAAGTTGAGAATCATTTTTATTGTATTTATTTTGAGCACAAATTAATAATAGCAGTTAACATTTATTTCTCACTTACCTTGTGTTAGCCACTGTGTCAAGGACTTGATCTGCATCATCATGTAATTTTCACAGTAATCCTGTGAACTCAGGTGTTCTTAGTCTCATTTTTCAGATGAGGAAACAGATACAGCTGAGGAAACAG